GAAACATTGCATGGGAGTGAGACCCCGTGGTGAGATATGGGAGGGAGGGATGGGAGTAGGCATGAAATAGTATCTTGGAAGTGAAACCAGGAAGTTGTGTACTAGCAGTTGCTGAGTTAAATAATGACGGACAGACAGGATTTGAAACGGGAGAAACAAGTGAGAGCAGGAAAGGGCTCCTGGGTTACGACACTTGAGGAATGCAAAAAAATGGATCCCTCTCTCCCTCCCTCCCTCCCTACCTGCCTCCCTCCCCTTCCCCCCTCCTCCCTCTCAGCCTCCTAACCTCCCTCTCTCTCACGGCCCTACAAGTGTGTTCCTGCCACTTACAGGTGGGCGAGTGAGGTGAGCGCGGTGAAAGATGCCGGAATGGGGCCCTCTAGGTCGTTGTATCCCAGATTTCTGCGTGATTTGCAGCACAGCACACAGAAACTGAGGATCAAAGAAAAAAAACGGAGAGAATGGGGGAGGGGGTGGACACGGCTGGGAAGGATAAGGGCGCTGGATCACACGTCGATGCACTGCACACATAGGATGACCGTGCGATGGGGCAGTTAATGGGGGAGGAGTACAGAGGACAGAGAGAGCGAGAGATACTGCTGGTGAGGCGCCTGAACAGGGTTGCTGCAGAGGTTGCAGAAAGGGTCGCGGGCATGGGTCGCCGCAAAGGTTGCGGCACAGCAGGGAGAGGGTGCGGCATACTAACAAAGAGATGGAGTACGGGGTGAGACACGATAATAAAGAGGCGGATAAAGAGATACCCCTTTTACCCTCTGAGTGCTTCGTCCCCCCCAATGTGCTTTCTTAGATGGATGATGCGTGACTGGAAAGGGGTACTGCTGGAAAGTGCACATACAGGGCCCCCCTAGACACGTGATACCCAAGTAGCCTCAAGACGTCTCAAAGATCACACAGCGGGTAAGTGTGACGTGGTGCTGCGAGCTGGTAAAGGAGAGGAGGGGGGGGGAGGAGGGGAGTAGAGGAGTGTACGCCTAGAGGAGAGGCAGCAGGGGCCAGGGATGAGAATGCAGTGGTGTGGTGAAAGAGTCCAACGCGGTGTAGAATGGCACAAGTCGTCAGGGAGTGGTGTGTGAAATTAACATGGCTTGAAAGTCTCGTTTTGGGGAGGGCATAGGGGTTACAGAGTGAACCGTACAGGTAGATGAGCGATGTGAGAGTGCCAAGAGCGGTTGGAATGGAGCCGGCTAGCCGATAAAAACTCATCGACCTGTTGTGTTGTGTTGTGTTGATTGCACACATGCACACACACACACACACACACATACACACACACACACACACACACACATACACACACACACACACGCACACACACGCACACACACACACACACACACGCACACAAACACAAACACGCACACACACACGCGCACACAAACACAAACACGCACACACACACATACGCGCACTCGCGCACACGCACACACAAACAGGCACAGAAGCAGCAGAAGAGTGAAGCACAGTCAGTGACAGAATGTCAGTGGCTTCTGTGGCCCACCGCGCCCTCTTCTGGTGGTCTCCTCCCTCCCCCCTCCCATCCCGAGCCGAACCCAATCCCCCCTCCTCGCTCTCTCCTCACTCACCGTCCCTCCCTCACTCATCCCTCCCTCCTCCCTCCCATCCCTCACTCCCTCCTCCCTCCCTCCCCCCTCATCCCCTCCCTCCCTCCCTCCTCCCTCCCTCCCTCCCTCCCTCCCTCCCTCCCTCCCTCCCTCCCTCCCTCCCTCCCTCCCTCCCTCCCTCCCTCCCTCCCTCCCTCCCTCCCTCCTCCCTCCCTCCCCCCTCCCTCCCTCCCTCCCTCCCTCCCTCCCTCCCTCCCTCCCTCCCTCCCTCCCTCCCTCCCTCCTCCCTCCCTCCCTCCCTCCCTCCCTCCCTCCCTCCCTCCCTCCCTCCCTCCCTCCCTCCCTCCCTCCCTCCCTCCCTCCCTCCCTCCCTCCCTCCCTCCCTCCATCCGCATCCGCCCTCCCCGCGTCCCCTCCTTCCCACCCCGGGGGCGCACAATTTAGTAACAAGTCCGTTGCCGTCACATTCTATGAGCTCAGAACTGTCACAGTCGGCGCCCACCCGCCACACACTCTCCGAGAATCCCCATGCTTTAGCGCACTTCGCCAGCACCCGCGCTGCCAGGGGCTCGTGGGGAAGGGGGGAGGCAGGGGGCGCGCAGGGGGGAGGGAGGGCGGAGGAGAAGGGGAAGAGAGGGGGGAGGGAAGGTCGAGGCAGAGGGGAGCGGAAGAGAAGCGAGGGGTGAGGCAGGGGTGAGGTAAGAGGGACTCCCTGAGAGGTAGGGGGAAGGGAGGATGAAGGTAGGAGCAATCCCTAAGTTGGGTACTGAGCGAGCAGTCATGCATCAGCGTGCATCATTGGGGTTTGGACGAAGAAGGAAAAGAGGAATAGCAGCGAGGGATCAAGGAATCGAGGGAGCATGGCTGCGAGGGAGCATAGTAGTGAGGGCTTGAAACGGATTGGTACGCTCGTCAAGGTTGGGGCTGTGGTGTGGGGGAAACTCGGGAAGAGAGCGGTGGGGGAGGTTGGAGAGTGGACGAACAAAAGGGAGAGAGATGGAACTGAGGGGGGGGTGGGTAGGTAAATTAGCGGGAAGGAGGAGGCTGTGGATGGGGTGGGTACAGTCGGAAAGTGGGGGAAAATTGGAGAGAGCAGAAGGGAAAGGGGGAAGTGTGGTAGAGTAGGGTAGAGTGAGGTAGACCGGGGGGGAGTGAGAGGCACGAAGAGGTGTAGGTAGGAGGAGCGAGCGACCTTGCGCGTCGTTGATACGAGTGGCGGCAGCAGGGCACGGCGGCAGCAGAAGCAGCCCCGCCAGCAGCAGCAGCGGCAGGCGGAGGTGCAACAGCGGCGGAGGCAAGGAGAAGGAGAAGCTGCGCCGGTCTCGCTCGCCCATCACTCTCCAGCCGGAAAGAACGGAAGGAAGACGTGCTAAGCTGAGCAACAACTACTAGAGGAGCAACGGTGAGAAGCAAACTGAGGCAAAGCTGCGCCGGTCTCGGTCGCCCATAACTCTCCAAACGGAAAGAAAGGAGTGCGGCAAGACGTGCGAAGCTGAGCAACGAATAGCGGAATGCTGAGGGTGAAGGACTTGTGCAGAGGGGAAGCGGCCACAGTGGAGTCACGGCCACGCTTGTGTCACTTCTGAGTATTCTCAGAGCTGCTGGCACGGCTGCCTTTCTTAGGCCGCTAGGAAAGGCTGACAACAAGGTGCAGTTAGTAGTTTCCGAGCAAATGCGTTTCTTTATTTCTTGCTCGGCTGCGAACCGCGCAAGCAACGAACAAGCGACCAAGAAGTCAACCGTGTGCGAGTGATGAAGGGGTCCTCTTGCCCCGTCGTAATCGCCCAGTGCCCCTATTCCTTGCTTTGTTGTTGCTGCGCTGGTGTGCGGTTGGCAAGCACGTTCTGATGTGCAGTGCGGTGCTGCGAGATAAAACCTGGAACTGCACCTACAATCTCAGCTCCTACAATATGAGTGGGTTTAGGGGGGAGGTTTGGTTCGATGGGAGTGCAGTTGGGTGTTTGATGGGAGGGATTGATGGTGTTTTAAATGTGTGTGCTATTGGGGTTTTCTTGGGGTTGTGTGTGCTGCTTTTTCTTCCTTCTTCCCTGTTTTTCTTCCTCCTATCATTTTTCCCCTATTCCCCTCCTTCTTTCTTCCTCTCTCCTTTTTTCTACTCACGTTATTCCTCCTTTTCTCCTCTCTTCCCGTTTCCACTCCTTTTCCTTGCGTAATTATGCTACATTGTAATATTTTAATAGATTCTTGTCTCTATGTAAGATATGGTGTTTGTATTTCCCAATTGATATAAATGGACACTTTCCTACAATATTATGAAACAAGGATTGTATCAAGGCAAGTAGAAATATAATGTGAGTGTTATCGTCTTCCGCCAGGTAAGGGAACAGCTTTATTTTTCCCCCACTTGACTTCAACCCTTTTTAGTTTCCGAAATTCTGACATTAGCTCGCTATCTTGTCCTGAGGCATTTGTTGTATCTTTGGTCCATTTTGCCAAAGCCTCGTTATTTTATGCATATATATTAAACAACGATATACATTTCGGGCCCATCGATATGAAATGTACTAATACCCCCACCTAGGCAGCGCGCTCTGGCCACACGCTAGCTAGTGGCAGCAGTAGGGAACAGACAGTCTTGCCAACATGCAACCAGGCTCCCCCATCTCATCCGAATGAAGTCGAAGTTCAGTTCAGATGTTTTTATTCCAACCTGAGCCGCCTCTTTTGCATTGCCGCCATCGAGCCGCCGTTCAGTACGTGAGCTGTTGTTTGTACAACACCTGAACAGCAGTGCAGATTACCCCGGGCATCCAGAAACATTTGCTACCCTGCGAGCGGGTGCTCATAATCGAACCCTGCATTGAAGCTGACAGCCCTAACAGAAATGAACTGAAATGGATAGTGGGGAAACATAACTGATGGAAAGCTCGAGTGGGAAATTGAGAAATAGTCAGGCCGCAAATATACACCGTGGCCGACAAACAAACACCATAAATCTGCAACAATCTGCCCCATGGCGTGGACCGTGTTTTACGGCACGGAGGGCGTCACCACCCTGGCCTGGGAGGCGACTGAACCGCACCTGAGGTGTACTGTATCAAAAATAGAAGTGCGACACTGTTCCTTCTCTACCTCCCTCTGGCTTTCCCTGCCTTGCCTTCCTGCGTTCCCGCCAGTCAATGGACCCCCTCCCCACTTCCTTCAATCCCTCCATTTCCCCATTTTCCCGTTCACGAATCCCGCCGCAACGCCCGCTCCTTCCCCTATCACGCAGGCGAAAATAATTTCCTCACAAGCCGCCGCGCACAGACATAACGCCTGAAAGCGATAAGACGACCTTGAGCGCTGATTCATGACTCTCTGAAAGCGAAAAATTCAACCCGTACCAAATTCGCTGGGTCAAGAGACCAACGATACCTTGCCTTTCCACAAACGATAAACGATAGCGCTCGACTGATGCGTAGTATCCCCATTTCCCCATTTCCCACTACATTCGTAGGTAGTATACACTGAACGTGCGTTGAACCTACTAAGTGATTACTAACTCGTAGCACGGGCCAGCTAGCTCATCAGTCGGAGCGTAATCCTTCGACTCCACCTTCACCAGGTCAACATATCTAGTGCTGCGTGACATCTCGACATTTTGAAACTAGAGATTGTTGGACCAGCCGTCCCACGACTACCCACCTGCACGAACCTTCCCGACTCCGCGCGGCCTTCCCCGGCCTCAGTTCACGCGTGCCTTTAATCTCGACTAGAAAGTCACGTGCCGCGTTCTGTGTTCTGAGCTTCAGCGGCCTCCTCCGCGCCACTGGCCCTCCACGCGCTTATCTTCCGCGCCTAGGACCGCGCACATGGCGCATTCCGCGCCCCTTGCGCGCGCATCACTCGCGGCGCTGCCACCGCTGCTGCTGCTGCTGCACCTCTCTCGTCGCGCCGAGCCTCGCCGGTCAAGGTACGCCGCGCCCCCGCCTTCATTGACGCTGGGCCACCGGGGGATGTAGCGCGTTACGGGATGACCGCGTGCGTAGAGGGGCGGAAGTCGTAATCCTTCTCGGGGGTACAGTTGGCGGCACGACTGCGTGCTGCTTACCGCGCCGTTCTGCTTACCGCGCCGTTCTGCTTACCGCGCCGTGCTGCTTATTGCTGCACTAACGGTGGATAGTCGACGGGCCGTCGGATGCGCGTTTACCGGGACTGCATGGAAAGAATCAGCAGCAAGTACCCGTCCAGTCACTTCCCCGTCTCATACCCGCTCATTCTTTTTCTCTTCTTCTCACCTCCTCTTTTCTTCTCTCTTGCCCTATCCCGCTTCCCCGCTTCTCTCCCTCCCGCCATTTCTCCGCCTTTCCCGTTTCCCCTGTCTCTCTAACCTTTCTATCTTCCGCCAGGCGAATTCGACCCGGTCTACATAGTCCGCCTTAAAGACCCACCCGTCACCGCATATTCCGGCGGAATTGGCGGCTATCCGGCCACCGCGCCCGCCGCCACCGCCGCGAACGCGCTCGGCAGGCTGGCGAAATCGGCGAAGAACGCGGCGAAGCAGCTGTTGAAGCGGACGAAGCTGAACGCGCGCGCGCCGAACGTGAAGGCGTTTGTGAAGTTTCTGAAGAACCAGCAATTGAAGGTCGCGAAGGACGTTGGCGTTGCCAGAAACAAGCTCATTCACAGGTGAGCAACGCCCCTCTTGCGGGGTTGAGAAGTCGTCTCTCTTGCACAAGTGCCTGACTGACTGAACCCGTCAGCCTGCCCGTCGTCCGACAGACACGGTCCCTCTCTCACTCTCACTCTCCTCCCAACCTATCCCTCCCTCTTTCTCCTTCTCTCTCCCTTGCTCCCTCTCCCCCAATCAGCTACACGCACGTGGAGAACGGGTTCGCGGCGGTGCTCTCGCCGAAGCAGGTCCGAAGTCTGCAGAGCCACCCGGACGTGGCGGCCGTCACGGAGAGCGTGCGCCTGTCGCCCTCCACCACGCACTCCCCGCAGTTCCTGCGCCTTCCGCAGTCGCTCTGGGCCACCGCGGGCGGGGAGACGTCGGCGGGGGAAGACGTGGTGGTGGGCGTAATCGACTCGGGGATCTGGCCCGAGCACGCGTCGTTCGTCAACACGGTGCGTGTTTTTGAGGCGCATCGTGTTGACGCACCGTGCGTATTATTCAGAAAATACGGTGCCTGCGGCGCGTTTGAGTGTGCGGAGAAGGCCGGGGATTTGGCCCGAGCACGCGTCGTTCGCCAACACGGTGCGTGGCGCGTGTGGCGTATTGAGTAAAATATGTAGAAAGCAGCGGCAGTCGACGAATGTGCGGATTGGGTCCGCTGATTTTCCGGGAACACATGGTGGTTCTGGTCTAGGAGCTGGAGGCGTCGCGGGTAGTCGTGCCGTAGTTATGCGACGCGACGCGATGCGGATGCGGATTCGGTGTCATGCCGACTCGTCGTCTGTGGGACTGGTTACGAGGGCGGCGCGGCGCGCGGAGCGAAATGCGCGCGTTGTGACCAATCCCCTGCGCGCGCGCTCATCCCTCCTGTTTTGCCAGCCTCGTCACCCCCTCTCACACCTCCCACCGCCCCCCATCTCCCCGCTCCGCGCATGCCCTTCCGCGCAACCTCAACCAGGACGTGAACCCGTACGGCGACCCGCCGGCGACGTTCAAGGGCGAGTGCCAGACGACGGCGGACTTCCCCGCGTGCAACGGCAAGGTGGTGGGCGCGCGCTACTTCAACGGCGCGTTTAGCACTCAGGTCAAGGGCAAGATCGATTTCTCCACGGACTTCAACTCGCCGCGCGACACGGACGGCCATGGCACGTGGTGTGCCAGGTACGCGCTTCGCTGGCCTGCTGCGTCGCGTGCCTCTCTCGCTCTCTCTCTCTCTCTCTCTCTCTCTCTCTCTCTCTCTCTCTCTCTCTCTCTCTCTCTCTCTCTCTCTCTCTCTCTCTCTCTCTCTCTCTCTCTCTCTCTCTCTCTCTCTCTCTCTCTCTCTCTCTCCACCCACTCTTATACCTTTCCTTTCCTTCCTCCCCTTCCGTTCTCTTCACCTTCCTACCCTCCCTCTCCTCCGTCGTCTGTCTACACGTTGCTGCTCCAGCGCTGCGCGTATTTCGTCCACCACCCTTCAGTCCCACCCGCTCACGCCTTCCTTCCCCCACTCCTTCCTTCCCCCACTCCTTCCTTCCGTCCCACCCGCTCACGCCTGCCTCCCCGCCAGCGCGGCGGCGGGCAACAACGGCGTCCCCGTCGGCGACCTCACGGCGAGCGGCATGGCGCCGCGCGCGCGCCTCGCGGTGTACAAGATCTTCTGGACGCACGCGGGCAGCATGTGGGCCAACTCCGCGGACGTGAACGCCGCCGTGAATGCCGCCGTGGCGGACGGCGTGGACGTGCTCAGCCTGTCGTTCGGGGGCGTGGATCCGCGCGCTACCTACTTTGACGACCTGCCGTTCCTCAACGCGCACGCTGTATGTTCCGCCCACGCCGTACGTTGCAACCTATTTTTTAGTCACGACTCGTAAAACTTGGATGTGCTCAGCCTGTCGTTTGTAGCCGTGGATCCGCGCGCTACCTACTTCGACGACCTGCCCTTCCTCAACGCCCACGCTGTACGTCGTTGCCACCTCGTGACTCCCACCCACCTAGCTCCCACCTCCAGCCCCCAGGCCTTAAATCTGCTCCAGTTTGCAAGTTGCAAGTTGCGCGTTGCTAGCTCTCCGTCTGCAGTGAAACGTGCTACAAACTTTCTGGCTGGTACAGGCGTTCTGAAAGGTTGGGCAAGATAAAGCGTTATGAAGGCGGAGGAATTGACAGGTGTGACAAAAAGTCAGTCTCCTATCCATTTCCTTCCTCCCCTTCACCAGGCGGGCGTGGTTGTGGCATTTGCAGCGGGCAATGCGGGCAGTGTGCACCCGGCCAAGGGAGAGTACCGTCTTATTGACAATTTCGCACCGTGGTACCTTTCTGTGGGAGCCAGGTACACTCCCCGCTCTCCGCCCTACACTCTCAGCTCTCTCTTTTTCCCGCTTCCCTGCTCACTCTTCATCCACTCGCGTTTCCGCAAATCATCGCGCTTCCTTTTCTTCGTTCTTTTGTTGAAGCTCAGAACCACAAGAGCCACTACACACGACCAGCACAAACACCACTCACCTTTCTCTCCTATATCCCCCCTCCGCCTTCTCTTCCGCTCCCCCTTCCCCGTCCCCTCGTCCCCTCCCTCTCGCCCCCCACCAGCTCCATAAGCATCTACACAGATATGGCAGGCGAAGCAATCACAGACCCAACCAAAAAAACTCCCAGCTCTGATCCCAACGCCGGCGCTGACAGCACCGCCAACTCACTTGGCACGTCTGGAACCTCCAGCAGCAGTGGCAGCAGTGGTGGTGCCGATACTGATGCTGGTGCTGGTGCTGGCACGGGTGCTGATACTGACACTGATGTCGATGCTGGGTCTGGAGTGTCTACTAAGTCTGAAGGGCCCGTTACAATCTCTTCCAAGGAACTCAAGGGCTTGACGTACGGCTTCTCCCCCTTTTTTCAACCCCCTTTACCCCCCTGCTACTTGCCCGTAGTTTACGATTCCCATGACCCCTTCCGACCTGCCATTCTCTTCCCCGTTCCTCTCGTGGTGCCATGCTTTCCCCTCGTTCATCCTTTGTGCGTGGCCTTCTCTTTTTCACCCCTGCTGCTACCTCTGTACAGAAAGCCTAGCCAAAATTCCACTGTTCTCTTACTCCTCTTGTCACCATGTCCACACCCATCACACCCCCAAATCTCTCACGGACTCCTCTCCTTTCTCCCTTCTCCCCAACCCTCTCCCCCTCGTCCCCTCCCCCCTCCCCCCCTCCCCTCCTCCTCTCAGCTTCCTCGAGTCCCCCGACGACCCTGACGAGGCGCCTCTCCTCGCGCCTTTCTCCTCCACCGGACCTCTAGCCGCCCCAGCCGCCATCCCTGCTCCCGGCCGGCCCACTAACGACATCCTTAAACCCGACATCATCGCTCCTGGCGTTCAGCTATGGGGCGCCGCGCCCAGTCCCTCACTCACCGACTATGACAACTATTTTAAAAGGCTCTCTGGGACATCCATGGCTACACCGCATGTGGCGGGAATTGTGGCGCTTATCATCCAGCAGAAGCCCACGTGGACTCCGGCGCAGATCATGTCAGCGATCATGACCACGGCGAGCGTGACAAACAACAGGGACGCGCTGATTCGCACGATGTCGAGAGCGCACCAGTCGCCACCAATAGGCGACCGCGTTGCGACCCCGTGGGAGATTGGCGCGGGGCATGTGAACCCTACGAATGTGCTCGACCCTGGGTTGACGTACGACTCGAATGAGACGGAATACAGAAATTTCCTCGCGGGTTTGAACATGAATCAGGCGAAGAAGGAGTTTCGCTCGATGACGGTGAAGGCCATCCGCGCGTGCAATCTCAACCGTGCGTCCATAAGCGTGTCGAAGCTTCAGCGGACGCTGACGGTGACGCGACGGGTTACCAATGTCGCCAGCGAGACTTCGACGTACGAGTCTTCGGTGGAGTCTCCAAGTGGCGTGACTGTCGTCGTGACCCCTAAAAGTTTCACGATCGAGCCAGGGCAAACCGTGACCTACACGGTTACATTTACAGTTGTGAAAAAGAATACAAACTTCGTCTATGGCAGTCTCACATGGACAGATGACCAGGGGCACATAGTGCGGTCTCCTATAGCCGTTCAGCCCATCAAGTAAGCAGCAGGGATAGGGAGGCCAGTAGGGAGGAAGCTGCTTCTTGCATGTTGTATGAGTGTTGCCTCAGTTTCCAATAGACTAATTTTGAAACCACTTGGAATGGAGTGATAGCGGAGATGGTTTTTTGGCATTGAATTGTCAGAAACGAATACTATGGAGCGAAAATGATTCGAGCGCGCCTTCCCCAGAGAAGATAAGTTTTCATTGCGGATGTGAAACAACTTGTACTGTACCCACGATGCTCAACCCTGCTCCGCTAGCTGCACTTTCGAAGTCCTAAATCCTCCCCACGTACAGTGGGATCGGGCAGTTGCACACAAGGTCCATTGTTTTTTGCAGCTGGTAATCACACAGCTTATCGCGCTGTCATCCGTCCCTTCGTCAGATAGTTTCAAAGTGTTACTAAGATTCTTCGCTTACTCACTACTGCCCAGGTTTTCCTGTGACGAATTTGACGAGGTAGGCGAATTCGATTGTTATCGCTTCAGGTACTAGGGAATTGTTTCATGTTTGATATGCATGGATACAACTCATTTTCACAAACCACTGTGTGGTCAAGTTGTCTCTCCACCCCAAGCTGTCGATTGGTCGGCCCAGAACTTCAAAAACTGAGCTGGCCCAAACCAAGACCAAATGATTTTGCGTTGGCCCAAACCCGGTCTGTTACCAAGCAGGTTAATGTGTCTAGTGCTTATTTAGAAGTACAAATACGAGACGAGATGCTTCATCACCAGTGTGAAATAGTCTCAAAATATTTCAGTAAGTAGCTAGTCTGGGACGCAAGTGGATTTCTTCCATAGGTTTGAAAAGGCACACCTGATCCTCCTTGGCTGGGAGGGGTGGGGGTCCGGTTCTTTTTCACACTCCGGTTAGGCTTAAGAAACGCCAGTATCAAATGGGCCAACCCAGCCCCTACGATAGCGAGTATCCCTAGAATCCAAACAGGTAAACAACCGAGTTGAGCGAGGGCAAATGTCCTTGAATCGACATTCCTGTACCCCGCCCCTCCCGACCGAGGCGCCTTGGTGTCAGCTCTTGCCATGCCACACGACGACTCGGTGAAGCCTGGCCTGGCCGACGTGTGTGCCTTCATCCCTCCTATCCCCTCCTCCCCTCTTCCCCCTCTGCCCCACTCATCAGCTCGACCCCCCGCCCCAGCCCGCCACTCCCAACGGCAAGTCACACCAGAGGCAGGTCCAGTCCAGACCAGAGTCAGTCCCACAGGTGCTTCTAGTACTTACGTAGCTACTCCATCCCCCAGAAAGTTGCTAGTGCCACACTCGCTCCGTGTCTCCCGTCTCAGCCTCTTGCTACCCGAGGACCTTGGCTGTGACTCTAATTCCCTTTCCCAGCGCGCATTCGTCCCGCATTGCGCCCTCCGAGCCGCTCAGCGCCGCGTTACTCTCCCTTGCGCACACGTTACTCTGCACCAACGCTGCGCACCCTCCGCGCGAAGCTTCCCCGTGCACCGCGAGGCGCAATGGCGCCGTCGGTCCGGCTGCTGCCGAACGTGGTGGAAATTCAGGAGACCGTTCACGCGCTCCTGTACCGCTCGTACGGTCTGCGGCTCGAACATTTCATCGTAGAGGACGGCCACACGCGCATGGCCTGCTGGGTCCCCGCCTCGCACGGGAAACCCGCCTACGACGACGGCGACGGCGACTCTGTCGCCTCGCCGGCGACGGCCAGCGAGCGACGGAGTACCAGCCGCAAGCCGCCATTGCTACTGATCCACGGATTCGGCGCGTCGTCGCTGAACCACTGGATAAAGCAGATACCCGTGCTGTCGCGGCACTTCGAGTTGTACATTCCGAGCCTCGTCTTCTTCTTCTCCTCCACCAGCGCCAGCTCGAAGCGCCGCGGGGAGTTCTTCCAGGCGGAAGCCATGCTGGGGCTCATGGACGCGCTCGGTATAGAGCGGTGCCAAGTGGTGGGTCTCAGCTACGGCGGAATTGTCGCGTACCGGTGAGGATGGGGCGTTTGAGATGCAAGTGGCAAGAATTAGCCATCCGAATTAACGCGTTTATCCTCCCGAGATGGATAGCTCCTACCAAAAGTCCGGTTCGCGTCGCCAACGCGGCGGACGGTGTAACGAGATGCTAGTAACAAACTACTGCTTCGCGGAATCGTACGATCGTAATGCGAACAGCCAATGTGGGTCGCACGGGACGCGTGCGGCGCGCGGCATGCCGCTGCATACGCCGTACGAAAGCACTGTAGCTCTTGCGATTTTTTTTGGGCGGCGGTGGCGTGAAGCTCAAGGATATGTGGGCGCGCGCCGAATTGACCCCACGCTATAGTACAAGCTTAATCTGCGAGAGTGACCGTGCGGGAGTATGCGGTTGGCCGCGAGTGACGCATGCCGCCTGAATGACGCGTTACGTCCGACGGCGGCTGAGGGACGCATGCATGTCGCCGCCAGCGAAATGACCGCGGAATGCCCGCGCCGCATTTGCAATGCAGCACCTGTCATGCCGCCAAACACCCCAAGGTGCTGAATGCCCTGCATTTGGCACTATTTCATCCCATCCCATCCCCTCTACCGTCTCCCGTCTCTTTTTGCGTTGAATGCCCTCGCCCTGTCTACTACCCTTGCCTCGCCGCATCTCCTTGCACCGTGCTTCGCAGGTCTGACGTGGAAAAGGGAAGCGCCTCTTCTTCGGAGTCCACCACCGTTCAAAGTGATACCACCGGCGCCACTGAAGGCGCCGCCAGCAATTCGCTGTCCAACTCTCCCTGTCGCTCTCCCGCCCGACTCCCCGCCCGTTTTCCTTTCCCCCCGTCTCTCCCGCTCCCCCCGCCTCCGCCCCGCGCCTCTTCCCCGATGCAGCATGGCGACGCTCTCCCCGTCGCGCGTGGCGCGGCTGGCGGTGGCGGGGTCGGGCGTGATGATGAACCGCGCGGAGTACGACGCGCTGATCGCGCGCTGGGGCGTGGATAGCACCGTTCCGCTCTTCCTCCCGCGCACGCCCGCGGAGCTACTGCGCCTGATCGGCATGGCGCACCGCGAGACGCCGTACCTGCCCGAGTGGATTCTCCAGGACGCTGTTGACGTGAGTGCGCGCGGTGGTGGGCGCGGGGGAGAACGGGGGAGAGGGGGGAAAGGGCGAGAAAAAAGAGGGGAGGGATAGGGGGAGGGGGAAGGGGGGAGGGGAAGGAAGAGGGGGAGAGGGTGGTAGAGGGGGGCAGTAATGAAGGGCTGCTGACTTTCCTCATAAGTCCCCCTGTCCGCCCCTCTCAGTCTTCTTCCTCATGCCCTTGTGCTCGCTGTCGTGCTCGCGCGTTCCATTGCTGCGCTGCCGGTTTGCTGCATTGCTCTCACGCTGCAAGCTCCGATGTGATCTGACTGGTTCATTGCATGTGATCTGGGCCCGTTTCGTTCATGTGTGGGGTGCATGGTACATGGTGCAGCGCTTCTTTGAGAACAGGGAGGAGAAGGCGCAACTGCTGGAGGACCTGCGCGAGCAGAGAGCGCGCGGCAACGCACACTACCCTGTGCCAACCATGGTCAGTGCACCGTGCAGTGCAGTCTTCAGTGTGCAGTGTTCGGTGTAGTGCGGTGCAGTGCAGTGCAGTGCACGTGAACAGTCAGGGCTGAGCTGAGAATGCCACTGCAAGACGAGCATGTATGTTGCCTGACACTGGCGTGCCACTTGTGCTTTCCTGATCTCGCATGTGCACGTGCTGCATTGTCCCGCAAACCCCAGTGACTCATGAGCACTTTTTTATGCCTGCTGTGGTTACAGGAGACGCTGATCGTGTGGGGAGAGGACGATGCAGTGTTCCCAATCTCCATTGGTTACCGCATGCACAAGTACGTGTGCCACTGCCACTCCACCCCGCTGAACTGTTCCATACCATACCATTCAATGCTATTCAATGCCATTCAATGCCACGCGATGCTGTTCGTTGCCACAACCTTACCCTGCAAAGCCACACGTTGGCAGACAATGCCTTCTTCGAGTGTGTTTCCTTGAAGCCATGCTTGTGCCATTTCTGCAAGCAGATGTGACCGAATCAGCAGATACCATCACTTCCCTTCACCATCCATCACCTGCCCCACTCTTCCCTTCCAACCACCCACAACCCCCTGAACCACACCCTTTTCTCCCCCCATCCCCCTCTCGATCCCTGTGCTCCCTTTCCCCTCCAACCACAGGCACTTTGGATCGTGCAGTCGCCTGGAGGTGTTTGAAAAAGGTTCACATGCACTACAGGCGGACGACACTGCTCGCTTCAACCACACCATCCTCACCTTCTTACTGCACGGCAATTCTTCCACCCACACTCGCTCCTCCTCTCCTCCTTCTGCTGCCGCTGTTAATGCTGCGCCTGCTGCGTTCCCACCTGGTTTGTTTTCTGCTGGAGTGGTGGCGGTAGCAGCCGGTGCAGCAGCATTGGCGGCCGGGGCTGTGGCTGCGATTTCAGCAGCAACGGTGGTGCAATAGCAGAGCGGACAGAGGAGCACAGATTTGCTTCTGAATTCCTTGACCAATGGAGTGTTGCTGCTTGCTCACACTGTCAAGGGAGGCAGCGGCGCACATTTCCCCATCACCTGGTTCAGTGTGGCTGAAATGTAACACAGCGCGGTACTAGTTACTTGCTACAAGCTAGCGGCTTTTTTCTACTGCATGGCAACATCAAGTATGAAGCTGCTCTCCTCGCCTTTGACCGATTTAACTGCTCTCTTGCTTATGCTGCAGTGCAGGAGCTGTGGGGGCTTGCAGTGTGGCAGGGGGCAGCTATGCTGGAGGTGCAGGGAGAAGTGGAGCGAAAGGGTGCGAGTGCTGTTAGAAATTACGTGAAAATCAGCCCCATGCTGAGATAGATGCATTCATACATATACCTACAAGTATGGGTTGTTAGTAAATTATGCTTTCTTGTATGTTTTGTCGTATAAATAAAGACGATTAATAATTTTATAGCACTTAGTTTACGTTAAATCTGTCAGAATCCCAGCCACTAACCACTGGGATAAAAGGGCTTGTTTGTGTAGCGGGACCCCCCAGGCCAACGTGCCTGTAACCCTTTCCTAGGATCAATCGGGGATCTCCAGTGGACCTCTGACACCCCCCCGCACTGGGATGCCCGAAGTGCACACACCGGGGGGTCGAACCCGAGACATTCGCTCTGATACCATGTCAGAGTCCCAGCCACTAACCACTGGGATAAAAGGGCTTGTTTGTATAGCGGGTGAGTGCGTCCATAACCCCCCAGGCCAACGTGCCTGTTGTTGGAAATAGTGAATCTTAAGCGCTTCAGTCGTGTCGAAACATCGCACCAGAAGCGAAGCAAGCTGTATCGAAACAAACGCGAGTCAACCTTCGGAGGTTGAGAAGTTGCCGGAGGTTACGCGAAAGTCAAAGGTCAAGCGACCTTTGACCTGACAAATACAGCGCGACAGTTAAGGACACACAACTGACTCGTTACAGAGCAGTTGCCCGAGTCGTACTGTATCGAACCGCAACAGCAACAGTAAAGTAGTTACAAACTGCATCCTTTCATATTCCTTGTATTATTATATAATCTTGTACTTCCTTGCTATAATCAATCTACTTTGCCCTCATATATTAGCGCAAGGTGGTTCACAAACTTTGTTAAACGCTTCCGCTATTACAACACTATCCCACCCAGAGTTCTCCCTTGAAAAGATCCTAAGGGGCTATCTCAGCCCAACATGGTATGAGAGCAAACAGGGGAAACTCTACTACCTTCAAATCATTACAAGACATGGCAACAAGCAAGGAAAGGAGCTCATCTAACGGCTCCCCAGGCACTACTCCTACTCCACCTCCTGCCTCTGGCCTGCAGACAGAGGAAGGCACGGCAACAAGACCAAGAATGACATCTACTGAGACTCCCGCAAATCACCCCGCGAACTTCGACCCGAGTATAATGGAGAAGTTCTTCTCCTTCATGTCCTTCTACGAGCAGCACCAGCAGTCGGGACCTGCACAATCACACAACAGCAACAACAACGGAGCGACACCCATGAGCCTCGACGGGTCGTCATATGCACGCGGAAACCAACAGCAGCAACCTACCTTCGCCCCGTACGAGCGCGGGTCGATCAGCTTCATGCCGCAATCTTCACCTGCACAAGACAAGCCACTGGACGCGTTACAAGTGCAATCACAGTTCGCGCACGTTCTAAAACTGCAGACATCAAGACCTTTCGACGGAAAGGACTTCTTTACTTGGTCATTCGAGTTTGAGTTAATGATGGAAGGCGCGCAGATACTCGGCTTCTTCGACGGGTCCCTGCAATATCCAGCAAACGGCACACAGTATGAGAAGCAGCAGTACACGTATCAATCGATGATGGCGTATACGATTCTGCTGAGGAACGTCACACCAACTCAGCAGCAGAACATACGCTCTTACCGGGGTTACGGCAACTCCGCTGAGCTCGCGTACAGCCACCTGAAGAGCCTGTATCAAGCAACAGACAGCGTAAACCAAAGCAAGTTAATGGCGCAGTTGACAACAGTTGAAATGAAACCGGGAGAAAAGGGGATGACGTATATCAGCCGATGTCGCGAACTGCGCGACAAGCTTCTTCGATGCGGAGGATCGATCTCCGAGGACGCCTTCGTGACAGTCATCATTGGTGGTCTCGGTCCCCAATGGCGCGCCACCAAAGCTATCCTCCGAGCCCACGGCAGAATTTCTGAAGCAGCACTCTGCGCCGAAATCCACGCCGAGCAGCAGGACATGGACCTGCAAGAAGAACGACACAGAAAGAAGACGACAACATCAGAGTTCGCGTTTCACACTCAACGACGTCACAACAACTACAACAATCGACAGCAACAACCGAAGCCAGTACCTCCTTTCTGCCACATCTGCAAGACTTCAGGGCACCCGCGCACACATTGCCCAAACCGTCAACAGTCAACAACTCCGCAGCGGCATCTACGGCCTTCAAGCAATCAAGTTGCGTCAACACAGGCGAACCCGACGACTCAAATTCAAGCTTCAACGACCTCAACGGGACAACCTGCACAAGAAACAAGAAATATCGTTAGCTGCATGGCAAGACTGAGTGACTCTTGCGTCACGGAATCACCACCATACTACTCACCAGAAGAACAGCTCGATGAAACGACACCTCGCCGCGAAGCACTTCAACCGAATCCAACCTACGCAGCCATCGCCCAAAACGAGCCATCCGGAAAAGACACGTGGTTCTTGGACAGTTGCTGCGGGCAACACATGTGTTCTTCAGGACGCTTCGTGCAGCGAGAGTACCAGCTTCAACGGGAAGTTGTCATCACCGTCGCCAACAATCAGAACCTGCGCACACGACGACAAGGAGTTGTTCAACTTCAGTCACGAGAGACAAATGTTATTTTGCAGATGTCCAAGGTCCTAATCGCAGAGGGCTTGGGCTACAACTTACTGAGCGTCAGTCAGTTGATGGCGAAAGGCATTCATCTTGAAGCAGACAGCACAACTCAAGAGTTCAAGCTGTACCACGGAAGGGGAGGTCTCTACATCGGGAAGGCGGTCCTCAAGAACAACGTCTTCGTTCTCGACTTCGTTCCCGATCTTGGCACGGCCGACAGCGACGCCATCGTAAACTTCACCAACTGGACACATCCTCCAGATCTTGATCCAGACTTCAGTCCGAGCGGTTTCTGGTACTCGCACACCATTTCTGAAACAGAGAGAACAAGGGCGTTAGCGACAATTCAGCAGTCGGCAGCAGCAGAGACAACATCGGCAGCAGCAGAGACAACATCGGCAGCAACAGAGACAACATCAGGAGCAGGAGAAACAACATCGACAGCAGCACCGACAACAGCAGCAGCAGCAGAAACATTAACACCAGTCACTGGTCCCTCAACGGCACAGCCCTTCATCAACGAGACGCCGCCGACACCGGCGCAGCAGCTCAACCCGGCACCACGGGAAGTTCACAGAAGCGCGAACATCATCGCCGGCTTCTACTCCAACTCCGACATGTACCGACGCTCGCCAGGACACCGCGCCAATGAAGAAACCTGGCACGCAAGAATGGGACACCCGAGCAACACAGTATTAAACAACATGATAAGAGCTGGAGTACTTGACAAGGATTCACTCTTACTGACCGACGGCAGAGAACTTCAGCGAGCTCGAGGAACGTGCTTCACCTGCCCCGAAGCTGACTTACCACATCAGCCCTTCGTTTCGCATCACAACCCAAGCGCACCTGCATATGCACCACTCGAGAAAGTGTACAGCGACATCTTGTACAACCGCGAACCCGGACAAAACGCGTATAACTACACCATCACCTTCATCGACGCCGCTACACGTTACGTCTGGCACCTAAACTTACCAAGTCGCGACATGGCTTTCGAGGCTTTCGTGGCATGGCTTCCAGCAGCAGAACGGGAATCGGGAGCTAAGCTCAAAAATTTCCAATCAGACGGAGGAGGAGAATACTCGTCACAGCGGTTCAAGCAGTATCTGGCGGAGAAAGGAATCAAGAGACTCATCTCCCTTCCCTACGCCCATCAACAGCAGGGTGTAGCAGAAAGGATGAACAGGACTCTGCAGAACACCATGCGCAAACTGTTACGTGGCATGCGGCTACCCAACCACCAGTGGCCCGAGGCAATGGACCACGCCGTGATGCTGCACAACCTGCTTTCTTCGTCGTCACTCCCGAACAACACATCACCGCATCTGCTGTGGACAGGGAAACTGGGCAGCACAAAAATGTTACGAGTCTTCGGCTGCATGGTACAGTACCGACCCCCATCTGCACGAGCCGGCCGATTCTCCCAACGGGCACAGTGGGGACTACACCTGGGCATCGAAAAACATTACAACGCGTGGAAAATCTTCGACATCCACACCAAGGAAACAGTAGCAGCACGTGATGTCATTTTCTACGAGCGGCTCACACTGCCAACATACCTTGCCAACCTGGACGAAAATCGAGACCCCACAGGTGGCTTCCGTGGCGATCGAGCCTTCGCTTCGGCAGGAGACGAAGCTGACTGGGACGAGCAGAACGTGGAAGGAGCCTCGGAAGAAGCCGGACCTCTCCCCTACTGCTCAGTGGACGTACCGATGGACGAAGATAACCCTCGCGAAAGCGTCAACGCCGAAACCTACTACCACTTCGCCGACAACGGTTACGTAACACCTGCTGAAGTCAACACCAACGAAGCAGAACGCATAGGGCCCAACTTCGCACCCGATCCAGAAACTGGAGACGAGGCAGTCTATCCCGAGGACACCACACTCCCTCGCTACACACAGAGTGGACTCCAGATACTCGGGCTCGTCACCGCGGTCCACGGCGCCGCCATTCCTAAAGAGCCTGCAACGGTTCAGCAGGCTCTGGGGGGGGAACACAGGGAAAAATGGCGCGAAGCCATGGATAAGGAGCTGAAAGCGCTAGAAGAACGCAACACCTGGAAAATCGTTCCTATCGGTGTAGCACGAAACAAGACCATCCTCACCGGAAAATGGGTCTTCCGCGTGAAGACGAAAGCAGATGGCACCATCGACAAATTCAAGGCGCGCTGGGTCGTACGCGGCTTCGACCAAGAGCACGGACGCGACTTCACCGAAACCTTTGCTCCGGTCAGCCGACACACCTCACTACGCATTCTCCTCGCAATCGCCGCCATGAAGAAGAAAAAGCTACGACAAATCGACGTCGCAAACGCCTTTCTCTACGCACCTGTTGACGCAGAAATTTTTGTGGAGCTGCCGCACGGCTCCAACACAGATTCCACGCATGTCTGCCAGCTGCTCAAGTCGCTTTACGGAATCAAACAGGCCCCGCGACTATGGCAGCAATACCTGCACGCTCGTCTCATCCGCATCGGCTTCAAGCAACTCCCGCACGACCAAGGCATGTATCGACTCACTAAGAACAACGACTACGTCCTGTTAATCGTCTACGTGGACGATCTCCTCTACATCGGGTCAACCGACAGCATCGCAACCTGGTTCGAAGGGGAGCTGCAGAAAGACCTCACACTTACGGTCTCGTCTACCGTCACACAGTACCTCGGCCTCAACATCCGAGAAGAAGAAGATGCGATCTATCTCAGCGCCGAGAAATACGCCGACACTATCGCTAAACGCTTCGCTCTCACACCAGCCGCCATCTCCACGCCATACCGCTACACGACAGGAACCGAGAAGGGACGATCCACTCTACTCAAACCAGCCGGCATACGCGACTATCAGAGGAAGCTCGGATGCCTCCTCTTCGCAGCCGTCACATGCCGTCCCGACCTCTCATACTCCGCAAGTCAACTCGCCACCTACCTCAAGAAGCCTGAAACAGAACATCTGGCGGAACTTGACCGCGCTCTTCACTACTTCATCAGCACCGCGACGATCGGCCTAACCTACCACAAGAACGCAGCTACACCAACTAAGCTAATCGGCTATGTCGACGCCGATCACGCCGGCGACTCCGACAACAGGCGCTCACGTACCGGCTACGCCTACCGCCTCGAACCTATCGGACCTATTTCCTGGCAGTCGAGCAAGCAGGAGTTAATCGCGCTATCATCAGCTGAGGCAGAATATATCGCACTCTGCTCAGCCACCAAGGAAGGCCTTTATCTCCGCGAGCTGCTGGAAGAAGCAAAGTTAGCTGAGTTACCCAACTTCACCCTGTTCTGCGACAACCAGTCTGCAATTCGCATCGCCAACAAGAACGGTTTCGCGAACAGGACGAAACACATCGCACTGCGCTACTTCTTCGTGAAGGACGAGATCGAGAAGGGGAGACTTCAGCTGTCATACTGTCCCACGTCCGAGATGGCAGCCGATTATTTGACCAAGAAACTCGGAAAGCAGAAATTCGAGTACTGCATGCTGCTGACTGGACAGAGCCACGTCATCAGCAACGACACTCCAGAAGCGAAGGGGAGTGTTGGAAATAGTGAATCTTAAGCGCTTCAGTCGTGTCGAAACATCGCACCAGAAGCGAAGCAAGCTGTATCGAAACAAACGCGAGTCAACCTTCGGAGGTTGAGAAGTTGCCGGAGGTTACGCGAAAGTCAAAGGTCAAGCGACCTTTGACCTGACAAATACAGCGCGACAGTTAAGGACACACAACTGACTCGTTACAGAGCAGTTGCCCGAGTCGTACTGTATCGAACCGCAACAGCAACAGTAAAGTAGTTACAAACTGCATCCTTTCATATTCCTTGTACTATTATATAATCTTGTACTTCCTTGCTATAATCAATCTACTTTGCCCTCATATACCAGCGCAAGGTGGTTCACAAACTTTGTTAAACGCTTCCGCTATTACAACACTATCCCACCCAGAGTTCTCCCTTGAAAAGATCCTAAGGGGCTATCTCAGCCCAACACCTGTAATGTTAGGATAGTAGGCTTAGGAGAAATTAGGTTTTAGGAAGAGAGAGGATGTTTGGCCAAGCAAGAAGGGGTTTGACTATGGAGAGAGTTACAAGAAATAGGGCAAGGGAAGGTGGCCAAGGGGGGTATACCACCAACAATGAAATAGATACTACACTAACTAAGCTAATATGCAGTTATACATAGAAATACAATTTCTGACATCCCCCCTTAACTGCATACAAGCATAGCTAGTGAGGGGCGCTCTACCCTAAGTGCAGACTTCACCGGGCCGCAGCTGGGCCCACCGATACAACACACGATGGAGTTTCCCGCCTGCGGTTTAACCCCCGCAGTGGATGCCTGGTGTGCGCGACTCTGGGTGACCACGCCCAGAAACGACGGAGAAAAGGAACGAACGACAAGAAAACATTACGAAAGTAGAAAACAGAAAAGAAGAGACCCTTTCTCTCTCTCTCTCTTTCGTCCCCCCTTAACCTCTCTCATCCCCCCTTAACCTCTCTCCTCTCCCCCCCCCCTCCTCCTACCGCAACTAGTGCTGCAGGAAGAGAGGAAGAGAGAGGGGAGGGACGGGTTGCTGGAGGCTCACACCCGCCACCCCCACATCTCCCCTTCCCCCTCCCCCCCCCCCCACGACGGAAGCCGCGGAAGGGAGGGCGGGGGGGTGGGGAGGCAGTAGCTGCTGCTGGCGCTGGCGGTGGCGCTGGCGCAGGCGTTGGCCGTTGCTCCGGCGCCTGGCGCTGACGTCCGCGCTGGCAGGGCACGCGCGGGGCGACGGGCAGAGCGCGCGCGGGGCAGCCGACGAAGCGCACGCGGGGCGACGGGCAGAGCGCGCGCGGGGCAGGGCGTCCGCGGGGCAGCCAACAAGGCGCACGCGGGGCCGCAGACGGGACGCGCGCAGGGCGACGGGCAGAGCGTCCGCGGGGCAGCCGACGGGGCGTCCGCGAGGCAGCCGACGTGGCACGTTCGGGGGGACGGGCAGGGCGCGCGTGACGGGCGAACGGGAAAAAAAATAGCGCATTCGCGCTGTAGTACGGGCGGGCCCATGATTCTTAAAAATAAAATAGGTCCTAAGACCGTAGTGGCTCTGATAGCATGTTAGAATAGTAGGCTTAGGAGAAATTAGGTTTTAGGAAGAGAGAGGATGTTTGGCCAAGCAAGAAGGGGTTTGACTATGGAGAGAGTTACAAGAAATAGGGCAAGGGAAGGTGGCCAAGGGGGGTATACCACCAACAATGAAATAGATACTACACTAACTAAGCTAATATGCAGTTATACATAGAAATACAATTTCTGACATGTAACCCTTCCCTAGGATCAATCGGGGATCTCCAGTGGACCTCTGACAAAATCAATCCAAGAACGATTCAGTAGAAGTTCATTGTCATTGACAGTGTGAAATGTGCCTCAGTGCAAGCTGAAAATTAGCCATACCATCTCCCACGGCTAGCTATATGTAGCTCACGTGCTTATTACAGCAGGTTATCTCGTTTTGCAGATAGTGGAACCTTCCTTCTCCCATCCCTTTTTACTGTAATGTATGTATTACACCACATACGAACAACCTAAAACTACAGTTCCTGGTTGGGACCACCAACTAGCGAGGTGTGGCAGTTGGCAGCGGAAACCAGTAAAGAACGCGCAATCTTCGTCGCCCGAATCCCTTCCCCTCGCCTGATTCACGTGCGCGGATCCGCGGTAAATTTTACTGTACATATGTATTAGATGCACCCACCGCCGTGGATTTCTATGCTCATGTACGTCAGTGCCACATGGCTGGCAGTGAGGTATGATGTGGTCCCTCTGTCCTGTACACGCTGTCATGGTTGCTCAGTCAGGGCACATGCCAGCCAGGCGTTGGCTTCCGCATGACCGCGTGCTTTTTCATGGTGCTTCTGCAACCCGAGGCTCCGGTTCGGAACAAAACTGGTCTGGGCTTCCTTGGCACGGTGGTTCGGCGCGCCTCAACGTCTGCCTGGGCTTCCCATACCGAGCTTGCTTCGGAACTCTCTGGAGGTCAAGCAGGCCAGCACAAAACCCCAACGCTCGCTTCAGGAGACCTGCTTTTTCTCCTCCCAAGTTTCGCTACCTTCATTGCTAGCCAGTTTGTCAGTCTCTCCCCACCGTTTCTCGTCTTACTGCTGCTTTAGGAATTTTCCCTTGTGAATATTTCCCTACTTCTTTCTTCGCCTTTCCCTAAGCGCTCTCCGTTCATTTCGTGTTTTTCAATAACGTCCGAGCTGGAGTCGCGGAATCTCAGTATTGTCAGGGAGCTTTATGCCGCTCTCGAATCTGGCGACCTGCTGAGAGCCCGAGCGCACTTGGCGGAGGACGTGGACTGGTGGTTCCATGGTCCTAAATCTCGCCAGCTGCGTTGCATGCAATTTCTGTCGCTGATTGTCGGCGAAGTTGATTCTGATGGTGTGAAGTTCATGCCCGTCGATGTGACTGCCAAAAACGACAAGGTGTGTATTGCGTCGACCCCCTGTTTATTCGTCACGCGTTTCCGGTTTCTGTTATGACTCACTCGTATTGCGATGCCCGTGCAGGTTATTTCAGAGGGTGTCAGCATCGTGCGAACCCGTCGTGGAGCGCTGGTGGATGTAGCGTGGGTCCACGTGTGGACGGTGTCGCCCGTCAGCGGCAGAGTGACTGGACTCCAAGAGTTCGTTAACACTGCCGTTTCCGCGACTGTACTTGGACCTGCTTCTGGCGCGCTAAGCTCGCTGCCCGCGGCTTCTTGCCGCGAGGCTATGGCTTCCAGCTCGAAGCTAGGTGCTAGCTCTGTAGCATCTAACGGGCTTCAAGTTTGGGAGTCTCGCCTGTGGCGTGAGCAGAAGCCTTCTCTGCCTGGCCTTATTCTCACCCTCTAATCTCTCTGCTTCAGAAGATCTGGTTGAGGCCGATGTCTCATGTTAGTGTGTGTAGGCGTTGTTTGAGGTTCTTTTTGGTGTGGTGTGGTTTTCTTGATGATGCACAAACTAAGCAGTGATATTGTTTTCCATGTATTGTTTGCTTGTTGCTAGTGCTGGCCTGATCTAGTTCGAAATAACAGTGGAAGGAATTGCTTCATCTGGATGTTTATGAGTTCAGGGTTTCCAGCATTTCTTTGACGACCTCATAACCAACCAGATCTAATGTACATATGAAGGCACCTGGTGTAAGACATGTGTACGCAAATCTTCCCCGTACAGTATCTGTACGCTTCTCTCGCGGTACCATTATGGGATGGGCTTTTATGAAGGATCTGCCTAGTAGTGCACCGATCTCACATTTCGCCAATATCGTCTGGCCTGAGACTGTAGTCACATTCTATGGTCAAGGAACTTAGAGACAGCCTAGAATAGTGCTGAAATTCAGGGCGGTGCGGCGAGGGTGCGATCGAAGGACGAGCCGTTAGAGCCTTCTACTGGTTTCCGACGAGACTTCCCTAGTTTCGTCACCCCGATTTATTCGATCCCGCAAATCTGACCGCATCTTATCTCCCCGCTCATCTGGCTCCTTATTTCCTTATTTCCGTTCCCGTGTATGCCGTTCCGGTAATCGCTCAGACCAACTCCGTTTACTCCGATTCGGTCTAGCTGGTTTCGGCTGCTGGTGCAGCAAGCGTGAGGCACTTCAATCTAAGTGCCTCACGTTTGAATCCGCGTCGGCGGCATCCGCATCAGCCGCAACGGTAGCAGCGGCGAGCAGCATCGCTCGTGCGATCAGCCTTTAGCCATGGATCCTGCATGTCACATGGTTACCCGCCTGTCGATTCGATGAGATTTCGCAGCGTTTTCGCCTTTCGAATGCCGCAGACTGCACTGACTGCTCATCCACGTCCTCTTGTCGCACGCGGAGCTGCCTCCGGTTCCAATTTCAAACACATCGCGACGTAAACGCGCACCCCATCAATCGTCACCCCCTCGGATAGTCTCGCATTTTTCACGGAAACCCTACTTTAGGTGCGTCCGTCCATCCATAATCTGGTCATCGTCGCATCATTCCGTCTGCAATCCCTCCGGTGTACTGCCTCTCAGGCTTCCACTGCTTGCATATCACCTGATACCCCTTCTGCCCCGTCTCTCCTCCCCCCTCTTGTTCGCCCCACACTTCCCCATCCCCCTCTCTGCCCTACCCCGCTTGAACAGTCCTTCCCCCGCTTCCCCCGCCCCGTTTCCGCTCGGCGGAAAGCTCCGCTCCGCCCATGGACGCGTTCCCGGAGGAGCTGCTCACTCCGCCGGTGCCCCTGGTGGCGCTGCTGGGCGTACCGGAGCTCCACGTGGCAATCGCGCAGTACCTGCAGGCGCAGTCCCCGCCCGTGGCGTCGGTGTTCGTGCCCGACCGCGCGGACGCGGCGGAGGTGAGCGGGAAGGAGCGGCGGCCCGCGGACGCCAAGTGCGCGCCGCCGCTGGGCGTGCTGAAGGCGGAGTGGGTGAAGAAGCACCGCGAGCGCATCCCCGCGGCGGCGGTCGTGCTGGTGGAGAAGGCGCTTCTGTGCGGGGACGCGGGCGCGTGGCAGTCCGTGTGCGCGGAGATCGACCAGATCAAGTGCGTGGTGTGGTGTTGTGGGTTTGCTGGGGTGCATGGGGGAAGGGGAGGAGGAAGGGAGAGAGAAGGTGGGGTAAGGGAGTGGGAAGGCGAACGGGGAGGTTGGAGATACACAAGGTGGAAAGGGAGAAGGCGATCGTCGGAGGAAATGGTCTGAAGGAGGAAAGTTATGGTCTGAAGTTGGCAGGGCATGAGTGGGGAGAGGAGAGGTATGGTGCTGTGTTGTGCTGGGCAAGGCATTTCAGTGACGCTCTGGCTGATTTCTCACATGGTGTGGTGTTGGTGCACATGGCTTTGTGTTGGTTGACGGGTTTGATGCCAGAAGTAGCCTGCACTCCTGTGTGGTTGTTCTCTTGATCGCGCATGCTGCATGGATGCGCATGTGTGTGTGTGTGTGTGTGTGTGTGTGTGTGTGTGTGTGTGTGTGTGTGTGCATGCATGGATGTACTTTCGTGTGTGTGAGTGCGCATTCCCGCGTGCGTGTGTGTATGTGTGCACGGTTCCCTTGCCTGCCGTACAGGAGTGCGTTGAGGGGGCGTAATGTGAAGCTCGTGCTGCTGCTTGTGCAGGCCACAGCAGGCGGTAAGCCCAGTCAGCCCCGCACTGCGTGCTCCTCCTCCCTGCCGCTTGATACCACTCCGTACCACTTTAAACCACTCCGTACCACTTTAAACCACTCCGTACCACTTTAAACCACTACGTACCACTTTAAACCACTCCGTACCACTCCATGCCACTCTGTGCCGTGCTACGTATGTTGAGGCCTTTTGGAACTCTTCCATGCCATGCCGCAGCCAAGTCTGGCTGAACAATTGACCTCATGCCCTCCCCAACCACAGTTATTCCCCATGCCCCATGCTTCATACCCCATACCCCGTGCCACATGCCCCATGCCACATGCCCCACACCCCTGTCCCGCCTTCGCGTGGTTCAGGGGAGATGAGTGAGGAGCGGCTGGGCATGCTGAAGCGGCGGGCAGAGGTGGATGGGCGCGGCTGCATTCCCTTCCTCGTGGCCGATGCCGAGGACCAGAAGCGCTCCCTCTCCCGGTGGGTGGGATGCACAGGCACATGCGCGTGCACATGTGCGTGCACATGCGCGTGCACATGCACATGCAAATGAACATGCACATGAACATGAACATGAACATGAACATGCACATGAACATGAACATGAACATGAACATGAACATGAACATGCACATGAACATGCGCACTCCATCTTCTGATGTCGCCCTTCCTCTGCTCTTTCCCTTTCTCCCGCCATTTTCCGTTGCACGTATGACCCATCCCTCCGGCATCAATCGCATGGCCCGCTTCCTCCAATCCTAATTCTTTAGCTTCCATTCCGCATCTTTCTTGTCGGTTGCTTCTAGCTGCTCACCATATTGACTCTTACCCTGCTGACCGTTTTGTGTACCCTTTGCTCCCTGTCCCAATGCCCCGCTCTCCCCATGTTCCCTTCGCCTCCTGTCCCCCTCGCGCCCTGCACCCTCGCCCCCTGTCCCCCTCGCCCCTGCCCCTTTGCCCCTCGCCCCTATCCCTCTGCCCCCCTCGCCCCATCTCCGCTCCCATGGCGGCAGGCTGTACGCATCGCGGTGGTGGTGGAGCTGTGCGCCAAAATTGCCCCATCTACCACCTTTTGAGTGGACTCAAAATTGCCCCTCTCGCCCCCTGCCCCGCTGCACCCCTTGCGCGCACTCCCTCTGCCCTCCGTCTCACCTTGCCCCCTGTGCCTAACGGCAGGCTGTACGCGGTGGTGGTGGAGCTGTGCGCCAACTACTACCGCTTTTTGAGTCTCCTTAGATTCGCCCGCCTCGTCTCCTTAGATTCGCCCGCCTCGTCTCCTTAGATTCGCCCGCCTCGTCTCCTGTCCCCCCTGTCCCTCTGCCCGCTTGCCTCCCTCCCCCTCCCCACCCCCTCCCTGGCGGCAGGCTGTACGCGGTGGTGGTGGAGCTGTGTGCCAACTACTACCGGGACGAGGTGCGGCGCATGCGCCTCAAGATAGAGCGCCGCGCCTACTCGCACACCGAGCTCACCGTGCGATACTACTTCAAGGTGCGTGCATGGGGTGGGGCATGCAGTGCAGTGTGTGCAGTGTATGCAGTGCGGGCGCCGGGAGGTGTGCTGTGTGCAGTGTGCAGCTTTGAGGCGCCTCAAACCTAGACGCCTCAAGATAAAGCGCCGTGCATACTCGCACACCGAGCTCACCGTGCGATACTACTTCAAGGTGCGTGCAGCGTAGCGTGAAGGGACTGTGCACCGGCAGTGGGCAGTGGGCAGCAGCTGCTTTCCTATGCTCTCTCCACAATCCCTTCAAACCCTCTGGTTGGTTCCCATTTACTCTCCCACACTGCACGTGTCTGTTATGTCCCACCTTTACCAGCGCAGCACTCCTGTCCACGTCCCTCCCGCTCTCTCTCCTCTTCCCCTCGCACCCCACCGTCCCTTTTCCACCCCCCTCCCCCCCCGCCTCCGATCCCCCTCAGATGGGCATGTACTGTGAGTTCCGTCGCGAGTGGCTGCCTGCTGTCAAGTGCTACGAGGCTGCTTTTGGGACATCTCAAAACTCCCTTTCTTCGCCCTGCTCCCTTTTCCACCCCCTTCGGCCCCCCCCCCCCCCCCCTCCTCCGATCCCCCTCAGATGGGCATGTACTGTGAGTTCCGTCGCGAGTGGCTGCCGGCTGTCAAGTGCTACGAGGCAGCCTTCCTCTCGCTGCAAGAGGTAACGTCGTGTCTCTCTCACCTGTTGAGGCGACTCAAAATTCCTCTCGCTGCAAGAGGTAACGCCCTGTGTCTCTCTCACCTGTGACGTTTCAGGAAGCCTGGCTCAGCTGAACCACCTGCTTGTGTGCTGTTGCGTTGTAGAGTCTCAAAAATACTATACCTGCTTGTGTTTTGTTACATTGGCTGTTCCAGCTTCTCATTTTCCACTTCTATTCCTGGCCGTTTCCTTCTTTGTGAAATTTCCGACCTTTGTCGTTACCTCACTCTCTCGTTCTCCCCCCGACTCTTTTCCCATGTCTCTTTCTTTTCCTCGCTCCCCTTCTCTCTCTTTCCCCACGTCCTTTTCCCTCCAATCCTCCCTACACCCCTCTGCCACGCACCTCACCTGCTCCCCACGCCCCCTCACCTCACTCCTCCCCACCTCCCCACAGCTCTTCTCAGGAGCATCGGAGCGCTACCCCCTGCAAACCGTGCTCGAAGTGAAAGCAGTAGCCGAGGTCCTCAGCCTCAAGGTCTGCACTCTCCTCCTGCACTCCGGCTGTTGAGTCAACTCAAAAGTCACCCACGCCCCCTTCCCTCCCACCCATCCCTCCACAGCTCTTCTCAGGAGCATCGGAGCGCTACCCCCTGCAAACCGTGCTCGAAGTGAAAGCAGTAGCCGAAGTCCTCAGCCTCAAGGTCTGCACGCTCCTCCTACACTCGGGCCGCGAGGTCGAAGCGGTAGGCTGGTTCCGCACCTTCATGGAGTGGTTCCGAGCCCGCGTAGGCCCCCCAGAAGCCGCGTTTCTGCACTGGGGTTGGATGGCGAGGCAGTACGAGGTGTTTGGGGAGCTGTTGCAGCAGAGGCTGGCGTCGTCTGGGCATGTGGTGGGGACTCCGGCTGGTGCTGCTGTTGCTGTTGGAGCGGCGGCGGCGGCTGCGGCGGCTCCTGTGGTGGGGGGAGGAGGGGGTGGTGGGGGCGCGGAGGGGGACGATGCTGCTGTTGCTGCGGCTGCTTCTGCTGCTGCGGCTGATACTGATGGGATGAAAGTTACAGGGCCAACTTTGGCTGCTGCATCTCTTGCCCCTTCCCCTGCCCCTTCCTCCGCCTCCCTCTCCTCCCTCTCCACCTTCCCGCCCTCTGCGCCCTCCTCCCTCCCCTCCTCTGCCCGCTCCTCCCCTCCTCTCTCCCCTGCCCCTAGCACCGCCTCTTCCACCTCTTCCGTCCCTCCCCTCCCCGCCCCTGTCACTGCTGCCAGTGCTGCCGCAGCAGCCGCCGCCGCCGCCGCAGCAGCAGTGGCTGTCGCAACAAGCGCCACCGCTGCCGCCACTGCCGCCGCCACCACAGCAGCAGTCACAGCCACAGCAACGCCGCTCCCACCCGCCTTGGAAGGCCAGGGCCCCTTCTCATCCCAGTCCCTGCGCGTACCGCTAGTAGCACGAGTCTTCCAGCTAGCAGCCAAGCACATGCTCAGGCACAGGCGTGCATATGACGATGCACGCTTGGCTCTAGATACCTTTGGGTTGGCGGCGCTGGGAGGGGACGGAGGCGGGGTGGGAGGGGTGCAGGCGGGGGCGTTTGGAGCGGTTGGAGTGAGTGTGGATGGGTTGGTGGATGTGCTGGCGGAGGGAAATTCGGGGGTGGAGGAGCCGGTGTATGTGGGTCAGGCATGCCGCCTGGTGTTCCGAGGCCACGCACCACACGAGCAGCGGTGAGTGCGGTTCTGTTGGGAGGGGTTTGAAGCTTGAGGGGTGGCTGTATGGTGTGCGGTCTGGTCTGTGGTGTGTGATGTGGTGGTGGGTGGTGGGCGGTGGAGTGCGGTGCAGCATGGTGTGTGGTGTACGGTGCAGGGGGCAGGGCGCATGGCGCAATGTGCATGGCGCACATGCATGGTTGCTCCTTTTCAGGTGCCTTTCTTGAACCTGTCTCCCTTCAGGTGCCTCTTTTGCCCCTGTCTCGCTTCAGGTGCCTCTTTTGCCCCTGTCTCCCTTCAGGTGCCTCTTTTGCCCCTGTCTCTCTTCAGGTGCCTCTTTTGCCCCTGTCTCCCTTCAGGTGCCTCTTTTGCCCCTGTCTCCCTTCAGGTGCCTCTTTTGCCCCTGTCTCCCTTCAGGTGCCTCTTTTGCCCCTGTCTCCCTTCAGGTGCCTCTTTTGCCCCTGTCTCCCTTCAGGTGCCTCTTTTGCCCCTGTCTCCCTTCAGGTGCCTCTTTTGCCCCTGTCTCCCTTCAGGTGCCTCTTTTGCCCCTGTCTCCCTTCAGGTGCCTCTTTTGCCCCTGTCTCCCTTCAGGTGCCTCTTTTGCCCCTGTCTCCCTTCAGGTGCCTCTTTTGCCCCTGTCTCCCTTCAGGTGCCTCTTTTGCCCCTGTCTCCCTTCAGGTGCCTCTCTTGCCCCTGTCTCCCTTCAGGTGCCTCTTTTGCCCCTGTCTCCCTTCAGGTGCCTCTTTTGCCCCTGTCTCCCTTCAGGTGCCTCTTTTGCCCCTGTCTCCCTTCAGGTGCCTCTTTTGCCCCTGTCTCCCTTCAGGTGCCTCTTTTGCCCCTGTCTCCCTTCAGGTGCCTCTTTTGCCCCTGTCTCCCTTCAGGTGCCTCTTTTGCCCCTGTCTCCCTTCAGGTGCCTCTTTTGCCCCTGTCTCCCTTCAGGTGCCTCTTTTGCCCCTGTCTCCCTTCAGGTGCCTCTCTTGCCCCTGTCTCCCTTCAGGTGCCTCTCTTGCCCCTGTCTCCCTTCAGGTGCCTCTCTTGCCCCTGTCTCCCTTTCCTCGTCCCTCTTTGATCACCAGCGTCGTCAATCCGCGCCACGCCTTCTCTTGCCCGCATGTACACTGACCCCCACCCACCCACCCTCCCTCCCTCCCTTATCATTCACACCAGCCGATTTTTGAAGGAGCTTCAAAAATTGCCCGCATGTACACTGACCCCCCCCACCCACCCTCCCTTACCCGTATCTCCCACACCAGCCCCACGGACCAGGAGGTGCTGCTGCACGAGGTGGTGCGGCAGCGGTCAGGGCACCACCTTGCTCCTCCTTGTCCCACACCATATCCCCCTGCCCGTCCTGCACCATATCCCCTTTCACCCCCCCCCAGCCCCACGGATCAGGAGGTGTTGCTACACGAGGTGGTGCGGCAGCGGTCAGGGCACCTGTCAGGGGCGGTCATTCTGCTGCATGCCAAGGCCCACGACCTGTACCGCGGCATCCACGCGCAGCGCATGATGGCACAGGTGGGTGGGGAGGGGAGGGGAGGGGATTGTTGGGTGGGGGGTGGGTGGCGGGAAAGGGGGTGCGAGGGACCTGGTACAGGGGCGGCCAAGGCACACGACCTGTACCGCGTCATTCATGCCCAGCGCATGATGGCACAGGTGGGAGGAGGGAGGGGGTGGAAGGGGCATGGTTGGGTGGGTGTTGGGACAGGAGCGGCCAGGACACATCGGTACCATGGCGATGTAGAGTGTTTTTGAGAATTCTCAAAAACACTCTACATCGCCATGGCATCCACGCACACCGCATGATGGTGCAAGTGGGGAAGGGAGCGGAGGGATTATGCGACGGGAGGGCATGGTGGGTGGACGGTGGACGTGGGACGAAGGGGGGAAGAAATCTGCACCACACAACACACACCACGCGACATCCTCCTTTCCCATGGCATATCCTATCAAGTCGACTTAAAATTCAGCTCAAGAGTCATATACAAAACCATCCCAACACCAATCTTCTAACACCACATCTTCCTTCTCCATCCTGTCGCCTTCACCTCCCCCTCACTCGTTCCCTCCTTCCCTCCCTCCCTCAATCTCCTCCCCCACCCCTCCTTCCAGATCTCCTGTGACATGGCACGCGAGTATCTCTGCATGCACAACTACCCCAACGCCAAGCTGCTCCTGGACGCCACATCCTCCTTCCCCGCCCCGTCCCCCACATCTCCCCCTCACTCATTTTCTCCCTCCCTCCCTCCCTTCCTTCCCCCTCTCCCCTCCCCAGGTCTCATGCGACATGGCACGCGAGTATCTCTGCATGCATGACTACCCCAACGCCAAGCTACTCCTAGACGGCATAGCACAGCTCTACCGCCGCGACTCCTTCCCCTCGCTGCTCCCCTTCGCTGCATCGCACAGCTCTACCTATGCATGCACCGCTACCCCAACGCCAACCTACAGCCACACCGCATCCTCACCCTTTTGTCGCCCATCCTCCCACCCCTCCCTCCCCCCCCCCTCTCCCCTCCCCAGGTCTCATGCGACATGGCACGCGAGTATCTCTGCATGCATGACTACCCCAACGCCAAGCTGCTCCTAGACGCCATAGCACAGCTCTACCGCCGCGACTCCTTCCCCTCGCTGCTCGCCTTCTGTCTCCTTAACCTGCGCTCCTGCGCGCGCCACCTCTCCCTCCTCCCGGATTTCCTCCTCTATTCTCTCGAGCTCTGCACCCTCCCCGCGCTCCCCTCCCTGCCGCCGTCGTCTGCTTCCTCCTCTGCGGTTGCGCTTCCTGCTGCGTCTGCGTCCCTGCCCCCGTCTAGCTGGATGGATCTGGGGGCGGGGGAAGGGGGAGGCGGAGCAGGGGGCGTGGGGGATGTCTACGAGGGGGGCGTGGGGGGGAGTGTGGCGGTGGGGGGGAGAGTGGGGGAGAGGGAAAAGCGGGCAGTTGCACAGGAGCTTCTGCGGGTGCTGAGAGGAGGGCGCATGGACGGGGGCAGCGAGGGGGACGAGGGGGAGAGGCGAGCGAGCGAAGGTGGAGGAAGCGGCTTCACCAGAGCTTCAGCCTCATGGAAAGGAGGAGGGGAAGGTGGAGGGGACGACAGCGCGAGCAGCTGGGCCAGCAGCGTTACAGGAGCATCTGCAGGAGGGGAGGAAGCAGCGAAAACTCGCAGGAGCAGCAGCAGCAGCAGCAGCAGCAGCGGCCCTGAGAGTGGGGCCCACCCACCCGTTTCTCCTCTTCACACAGGAGTTACCCCACCTGCGTGCAGTCCTCTCTGCTACTGCTGCCTTTCCCCCTCGTCCCACGCATCCCCCCTCGCCTCCCCGCATGGGGCAGCCGGTGCAGGTGTGCGTGTCCCTGCTCACTCACTTCCCCATCCCCCTGCGCCTGCAGCGTGTGCTGGTGCGGTTCAGCCAATCCTGCTGCGACACGTGGATTCCGAGCAGTGGGGAGGGGGAGGAGAGGGCGGGGGATGGGGGGAAGGAGGGGGAGGGGAAGGAGGAGGGGAAAGAGGGTGATGTGGGAGGGCTGGTGCTGCAGCCTGGTGTGTGGAAGCGACTCTCCTTGTCCGTCACTCCAGGTGATCATGCTGATGCTGATGCTGATGATGCTGATGATGTTGATGCCACTGCTGATATAATTCTGGTGGCGATGGTGATGGCGGTTACGCACACATGGATGAGTGGTAGGACTGAGTAGTAGTCAGCTAGAGATGGATCCAGAAGCGTGCGTCGAGTAGCACTTGTATCCTCCCTTCCCCCTGTCATTTCTTCTCTCCTCTACCCTGCTTTTTCCGCCTCTCTTCTCCCTTTATCTTGTCTTTTCTTGTCTCCTCTCCCTCCTCTCCTCTCCTCTCCTCTCCTCCCCTCATCCACCCTCACACTACCCACCCCCTCCCTCCATCCCCTTCCCTCCCTCTCTCCCTCCCACCAGCGTTCAGCGGGCTACTCGAGTGTCTGCAGGTGCAGGCGCACATCACGCCACACGCCATCCTCTCCCCTCCTCTCCCCTCCTCTCCCCTCCCGTCCCCTCTTATCCTCTCCACAACTTCCACCCTCACACCCACCCACCCACTCCTTCTACCCCCTCCCTCCCTCCCTCCCTCCCACCAGCATGCAGCGGGCTTCTCGAGTGTCTGCAGGTGCAGGCGCACATCACACCACACGCCGTCCTCTCCTGTCCCATCGACAGCCCGCAAGCAGCAGGCCTCGTGCCCTTCTGGGTCTTCGAAGCCCCCTCCCCCTCACCCTTCGCAGACTCCTCCCTCGCTGTGCTCGGCCAGAAGGCCGTAGAGATAGCAGACGAGGCTCCTTTAGCGGATGTGACTGTAGAGTGTGCGGCAGACGGGGGGTTGGTAGGGGAGGCGCTGCCTGTGCGTGTGTGGGTGCGGTCTCTAGGGCACGCACTGTGGTCTGCGTCGCTGTCTCTTGTGCTGTCCGCTGCTGCTGCCGCCGCTGGCGCTGCTGGTGGTACTGCTGCCGCCGGTGCTGGTGGTGGGGCCTCTGGGTCTACCTCTACTTCCCCTCTGGCAGCCTCGTCCCCTCCTGCCTCTCCCGCTGCTTGGCCCTCCGCCCATGCACCCTCCCACAACCCCTCTTCCTCCACCACCACAAGCACCACCACCAGCAGCAGCACCAGCAGCAGCAGCGGCACTACAGGCAGCAGCAGCAGCAGCAGCAGCAGGCAAGGAAGGTCTAGGCGTTTCTTCTCACAGCATCCCTTCCATCACCCAACTGCCTGCCTTCGAACCCCCTCCTCTCCCTGGTTATTTGCCCATCCCGCCTGCTGGGACGAGTGCTGGGGACGCGTTTGCAGTCCTGGGGGAAGGCACTGCGGGGAGAGACGAGGGGGGTGAGACAGAGGTGCATGGTACTGCTGTTCCTGCGGAGATTCTATTGCCATGCGGGGAGCAGGGGGGGGCGGCGGGGCAGGGGCTGGGGTTGGGAGATGGGGAGGCAAGAGGTGGAGTGGGAGAGGCGGATGAAGGAGGGAATCGGAGCGAGAGAAGAGAGAGCAGCGAACAGCAGCAGCAGCAGCAGCAGCAGCAGCTGATGGCATTGAGAGGAGACATTAAGGTGCCTATGGTGGAGCCCCATGGGTCTTGGAGCACAGTGGTGTTTGTCCGATGGAAGGCCGCCATTCCCCTTAGCTTCATCGCCACTCTCTCGTACTCCTCCTCCCCTCCTGCTCCGGCCGCTGCTGCTGCTGCTGCTTCCACTCCAGCCATGCAGGCTCAGGGGAGTGTGAGAGAGGAGGCTGCTGCTGCTGTTCCTGCCGATGCCACTGCTGGTGGGGATGCAGGTGAAGCAGGGGAATGTGCAAGTGAAGCAGCCACACCAGACTCAGCTGCAGCTGCAGTAGCAGCAGCAGCAGCAGCAGCAGCAGCAGGAGGAGGAGCAGCAGCAGCAGCAGCAGGAGGAGGAGCAGCAGCAGGGGGAGGAGCAGCAGCAGGGGGAGGAGCAGCAGCAGGGGGAGGAGCAGCAGCAGGGGGAGGAGCAGCAGCAGGGGGAGGAGCAGCAGCAGGGGGAGGAGCAGCAGCAGGGGGAGGAGCAGCAGCAGGGGGAGGAGCAGCAGCAGGGGGAGGAGCAGCAGCAGGGGGAGGAGCAGCAGCAGGGGGAGGAGCAGCAGCAGGGGGAGGAGCAGCGGAAGGTGTGGTGAGCAGTGAGAGCGCAGCGAGCGCCAGCAGGAGCAGCGTCACCACGAAGGCACCCTTCCAAGTGTCAAGATCTCAGGACCTGCGCTGCCAAGAAGCCCTCTCAGTGCTCCATCGCTACATCGGCCCCTTCCGAAAAGACTCCCTCATCCCCATCTTTCACGTGCCCCCTGCTGCCTCCACCCCAACCACCACCTCCGCTGCCTCTACTCCCACCACCCCGCTTCCCCCCTCCACACCCTCATCTCTCTCTGCTCTCACAGCAGCAGCAGGAGCAGGGGCGGCGCCGGCAGCAGCTGTGGCGGTGCATGAGACGTGTGTGGTGGCGGTGGTGGTGCGTAACACTGCGTGCACGGCGCTGCGGCTGCTGGCAGTGCAGGTGCAGCAGCAGCAGGGGGACGACGCCGCGTGCCTCGTCCGACCAGTGTCCATGCGTGCCCGTGCGTCTGCTGCTCTTGCTGCTGCGGCTTCTGACGCAGACGCGGGGAGAGATGGTGACAGCTTCAGTGCAGGTGCGGAGGGCAGTGGGGAAGGGGAAGGGCCAATGCCATCAGAATCACAAGAGCAATCAGAGGCCTCTGATTCAGAACTGCCGCTGGTGCTGGGTCAAGGCGAGTCCTTCACCCAGCTTTTCCACGTCACCCCGCGTGTTGCCTCACCCTCCCTTGTCATCGGCTCGCTCTTGCTCACGTGGCAGCGCCATGCAGCCCAGGGCAACAGCAGCAACGGGTTGCACAGTCACGGCCAGTCAGTCCTGCAAATGCCTGCAGGCATGGCAAATGTCTACGAGAAGGCTCTGGCAAGCGGATTTGGCATCAAGCTTGCAGGGTCTGACCCTGACGCACTGACTCTAGACGCTGCAGCCCCACCCGACCAGCCACACCAGCAGGCAGCCCAGACTCTACCCCCCACATCCCCATTCCTCCCACAGCTCTCCCCAACCGTCTCGTCCCTCCGACCGTTCCCGCCCGTTCTCTCCGCGAACCCCATTCTCGTTGCGTCGCTGCGCCTACCGCCGTTCACGATCGTGGGGTCGCCCTTTTCCTTCTCCATCCGCCTCTCCAACTGCACCACCTCACTGCAAGAGGTGGTGTATCAGCTGCAGGACGCCCCAGGCTTTGTCTTTGCAGGCCAGCACAGCGGCTCGGTTACAGTGCTCCCCCGCGCCTCTCTCCGCCTCTCCTTCCGCTTGGTTGCGGTGGCATCGGGTATGCTGCAGCTGCCGCTGATTCGGCTTCTGGCCCCCCGCCCTGCTGCCAAGCTCTACCCGTGCCTGCACACGTCGCGGCTGTTTGTCTTCCCCTCTGCTGCTGCTGTGCCTGCTGCTGCTGCTGCCGGTGCAGGATCGGTTAGCAAGGGAGGGATGATGGGTGCCCTTTTATTGCAACAATCCTAAATGACAAGCAAGGGGAGGTTGGGATGCCAGTTTGGTTGCACACGTGCTTGTGCTGTCAGGCTCTGCGCTGAAAGGTGGGTGTGTGTTGTTGTAAGCTTAGCTTGTAAGGAGGTAGGAGGCAGCACTGCACTGCTAGCTCTTCTAAGGCTGCACAGCTAGGCTATTGGTCAATTTTCCGCTGTAGGTGATTTTTGTTGGGGTATTGGAGTATGCTGACCTCATAAATCTCAAGGACATCAGGAGATGTGAACAACACAGTACTGGCACTATGGACGGATTCTCGACTTTGTGTCATCCGCTATTTGTGTCATCCGCTATTTGTGTCATCCGAAATTGTGGGATCCAATCGGAACACCTGAAGCTCGAGTAGGGAAACCCGTGGTGAATAAAAATGAACACGGGATGAGACGAAGACAGGATGACACGAAGCCAGGAATCCTCCCCGAGAGTTACTGAACCCTAAAAAGTGCTCAAAGTACCGGTAGTACTACAAATTACAACAAATTTTCTATGATACAACATTAGGGTCCATATACAGGAAGAGAAGCATTTATAAAACACGCAAAAGATGATTTCCTCCATAATCCCCTACCTCTCGTTACTTGATGGGCTGAATAGCTATAGGAGACCGCACTACGTGCCCCTTATTATCTGCCCATGTGAGGCTGCCATATACGAAGTTAGGATTTTTCTTCTTAACTGTAAATGTAACCGTGTAGGTTACAGTTTGCTCTGGCTCGATCGAGAAACTCCTTGGGGTCACAACCACACTTACGCCACGAGGGGGTTCCACTGAAACCTGGTAGGTCGAAGTTTCGCTAGCCACATTGGTAACTCGTCGCGTCACGGTCACGGTCTTCGCAACTTTCGACACACTGATGGACGCACGGTTCAGATTGCACGCGCGGATTGGCGAGACAGCGATCGAACGAAATTCCCACTTCGCCAGGTTAAAGTCCAAACCCGCGAGAAAGTTTCTGTATTCCGTCTGGTTCGAGTCGTATGTCAAGCCAGGGTCGAGAACACTCGTAGGGTTCACATGCCCTGCACCCATCTCCCACGGAGTCGCAACGCGCTCGCCTCGTCCTTCCACCGTGACCCGAATCGGCTTCTTCTTGTTGTTTCGCACGCTCGCCGTGGTCATAATCGCCGACATGATCTGCGCCGGAGTCCACGTGGGCCTTTCCTGGATAATAAGCGCCACGATTCCCGCAACATGCGGTGTAGCCATGGACGTCCCGGAGAGCCTCTTGAAATAGTTGTCGTAGTCCGTGAGTTTGGGACTGGGCGCGGCGCCCCATAGCTGGAAGCCAGGAGCGATGATGTCGGGTTTAAGGATGTCGTTAGTGGGCCGTCCGGAAGCGGGGATAGCGGCTGGGGCGACTAGAGGACCAGTGGAGGAGAAAAACGCGACAATAGGCGCCTCGTTAGGATTAGTGTATGACTCGGAGAAGCTGAGAGGATGGGAGAGGAAAGGGATGGGAGAGGGATGGGGGCGACGGAGAAGGGGAGGAGGGGAGAAGAAAGGGAGAGGGGAAGAGTGGTGGGAACAAGGGAGCAAAGGAGAGGATTGCATAAGAGTCGTGGGGTTGAGGAGCGAGAATATGGTGGAAAAGAAATCAACAGAGGGGAGATGAGGATGAACTGAATGTGGTAGGAGGGAACTACCACATAAGAGTTGTGGTAGGACATTTTAGGTAGGAGGGGTACTAGACTTTCTAAGGAGGTTCAAAGGTAGGAGCAGGGGCGAGAAAGGGGAGACCACGCACAAGAGTCGAAGGAGGGGGGAGCAAGGCCGTACGGGGAACGGGGGTTTGACTTGCACATGGGCTTAACAAGGAGAAATGGGGATGGTTGAAGTATGTAGGGACATGGGGGGAGGAGGGTGAACGGGGCTGTACGTTATGTCTTTGGATTCCTTGGAAGAGACTGAATCGGTGGTCGTTCCAGCATCAGCAAGAGCATCAGCACCAGCACCCCCACCAGCATCAGCACCAGCAGCACCACCAGCGCCAGCACCGCTGCTGCCACTGCTGCCACCGCCGCCACTGCCGCCACTGCTGCCACTGCCAGAGGTGCTAGCTGTGGTCTGTGAGTTGGTGCTGTCATCGCCATCATCGGAAGCAGTGAGGGCCGTTTTACTGGCCGGGGAGGCTATGGCATTGGCTAGCATGTCTGTGTATATGCTTATGGTGCTGATGGGGGGTTGAAAGGGGGAGGGGAGGATTAATGGGGAGGGGAAGAGGAGTAAGGGGGAGGGTGAGAGGGCGGGGGATAGGAATGTGGAGCGAGAAAGGTGAGTGGTGTTTGGTGTTGGTCGTCTGTAGTGGCTCTCTTGGTGATGAGTGGTCGACGGAAGAACCGAGAGACAGCTTGCGTTGCAGATTCACGAATGGGTGGAGAGGGATGAAGGTAGACGGGTGAAGGGTGAGTGGACAACGGAGATGATAGAAAGAAGAGCAGGGAAGGGGGGGGGGGGGGGGGGGAGGGGGCTCACCTGGCTCCCACGGAGAGGTACCACGGTGCGAAGTTGTCAATCAGGCGATACTCCCCCTTGGTCGGGTGAACATTGCCTGCGTTGCCCGCTGCATACACCACCACCACGCCCGCCTGGTGGCAGGTCAGGGGGAAGGGAGACGGGGAGAGGAGGAGGGGGGGGGGGGGGGGGGGGGGGGGGGGGGGGGGGGGTGTGGGAAGGATATAGAACCTCTGCCACACCTCGCATCGCAATCCCTTGCTATTCTTCTGCTTCACTCCCTAACGCACGTGCCCCACTCCCTAGCCACTTCACTCTGCCAGAACCGACCAGCAAAAATGCAGCTCACAGAAAATTGCAGTATGCAACATGCAACTTGCAAAGCGGAGCAGCTTAAATTTCTGCAGGTTGGAGGTGAGCGTTTGGGAGAGATGCTGCAACATACAGCATGCGCGTTGAGGGTTGCCATGTCGTCAAAATACGTGCCGGCGGGATCCACGCCCCCAAGCGACAGGCTGATGACATCCACACCGTCCATCACGGCGGAATCAATGGCCGCATTGAGGTCCGCGGAGTTGGCCCACATGTCGCCATCGTGGTTCTGCCAGAAGACCTTGTACGCTGCCAGGCGCGCACGCGGCGCCATGCCGCTTATCGTGAAGTCGCCGTCTAGGAGCACTCCCTTGTTGCCCGCCGCCGCACTGGAATGGGGCGGGATGGGAGGGGAGGGGAAGGGGAGGACAAGGGGTGAGGAAATTGGCGATCTGTGGGCAAGTGGACGAGGTTACGAGGGGAAGGACGAGAGGATGGGCGGAAGGTAATGGACAGGGGTGAGTGATGCAAATGTAGACAGAGGATGGAGGGGAGGGAGGGGTAGGGAGGGTAGGGGGAAGGGAAGGGCGGGGAATGGAGGGATGGGAGAGGAGAATAGCGCAGGGCAGCGAAGCTCATACCTGGCGCACCACGTGCCATGGCCGCTGGAATCGCGCGCAGACCAGTAGTCCTTGCTGGTGTCAAGGTCGCCCTTGGTTTGCTTGTAGAATCCGCCGTTGAAGAAGCGCGCGCCCACCAGCTTGCCGTTGCACTTCTCCCGCGGGAAGTCGGGCGTCGGCTCACACCCGCCGGTGAACGTCTTAGGAGGATCGCCATAGGGGTTTGCGGCCTGGTTGCAGTTGCGCGGAAGGGGATGCGCGGGAGCGGGGAGAGAAAAGGCGGCGTGGGTTGGATTCAAGGTGCGTCTTAGCGATAGACTGGATTAGCGGAAGGGAATGTGCGGGACGATGACGGCGGTTTGAGGCGAGGCATGCGAGGTGATAGAAATGGAAAGTTAGCAGGGAGCGCGTCGCGTGGACTCCGTGACACCTCCAGTTCCTAGACCACAACCACCATATTCCACTTTTATTTAGAATAATAAAAAAAAACAGACTCAGCGGAACCTTTCCACACGATTTTCCACTGTCGTTGCTTTCCCGGAACATTACTCAAACGCCACATGCGCCACGCACCGTGTTGGCGAACGACGCGTGCTCGGGCCAAATCCCCGTGTCAATCACGCCAACCACCACGTCTTCCCCAGCCGACGTCTCTCCGCCCGCGGTGGCCCAGAGCGACTGCGGAAGGCGCAGGAACTGCGGGGAGTGCGTGGTGGAGGGCGCCAGGCGCACGCTCTGCGTGACGGCCGCCACGTCCGGGTGGCTCTGCAGACTTCGGACCTGCTTCGGCGAGAGCACCGCCGCGAACCCGTTCTCCACGTGCGTGTAGCTGATAGGGGGAGAGGGAGAGAGGGAGTGAAAGCGAGAGACGGGAAATCAGGAAGTTATTGCATGTGTCGCTGAGCGGATGTGGTTGATGCGTGGATGTGGGGATGGGCGGATGGGGGTGTCGATGCGGAGAGGGGCGTGCGTGCCTCACCCTGCGAGAGCGGAGTTCCTCACCTGTGGATGAGCTTGCTAGTGGCGACGCCCGCGTCCTGCGCGATCTTCTTCTGCTGGTTCTTCAGAAACTTCACAAACGCCTTCACGTTCGGCGCGCGCACGTTCAGCTTCGCCCGTATTTTCCAAAACTTCTTCGCCGCGTTCTTCGCCGATTTCGCTAGATTCTCGAGCGCGTTCGCGGCGGTGGTGGCGGGCGCGGTGGCCGGGTACCCGCCGATCCCGCCGGAATATGCGGCGACGGGTGGGTCTCTTAGTCGGACTATGTAGACCGGGTCAAAGTCGCCTGGCGGGAGGCGATTAGAGAGGTAGAGAGGCAGAAAGGCAGAGAGAGCGGGAGAGGCGGAGAATTGGCGGGAGGAAGAGAATATTAGAGGAGAAGGGAGAGGGATAGGGCAAGGGAAGGCGAGAAAGGGAAAAAGGAGAAAAGACAACTTTTGATGGGTGAGGGACGGGGAATTGACTGGACAAGTGCGTTTGTCTGACTCTTCCTCTTCCGGCTATGCTGTGACGTGTCCGCTCTCGGGTGAGTCATTTAACGGGCCGTTGAATTTTCCGTCGATCGGCGGCGAGAATCCCACGGCCCGTCGACCATCCACCATCAGTGCAGGAACAAGCAGCACGGCGCGCTAAGCAGCACGGCGCGGTAAGCAGCACGCAGCAAAGCCGCACCTCTGTGCAATCTACACCCCCCCGCGCAGGCGCTACATCCCGCGTTCCAGCGCCAAAGAAGGCGGGGCCGCGGCGTACCTTGACTGGCGAGGCACGGCGCGACGAGAGAGAGCAGCAGCAGCAGCGGTGGCAGCGCCGCGAGTGACGAGCGCGCACGGGGGGCGGAAGGCGCCATGTGCGCGGTCCTAGGCGCGGAAGGTCAGCGCGTGGGCCACTGGTGCGGAGGATGCCGCTGAAGCTCAGAACCCGAAACGCGGGCACGAAGCACTAGTAGTACGAGGGAGAACGCACACGTGATTTTCGATCGACTCAGAGGCACGCGTGGCATGAGGCAGTGGAAATCTGCTCAGAATCAGGAAAGAATCGAGCAGGTGGGCAGTCGTGGTCGGCTGCTCCAACGATCTCTGGTCATTTGGTCGAGGCGACACGTGGCACTGGCCCTGGATGCGTTGACCTGGTGCGGCAAGTGGAGCGTAGACTTCGATTCCGCTCAGATTGATGCACGAATAACCTGTGCTCCAGGTAGGTTAAACGCGCTGGCAATACACTACCTCGAAGAATGAACGGCGTTGCGAAGTGGGAAATTTGCAGCGCAAGACGTGAAGGGAACTACGCAACGATAGAGCGCTATGACTCTGGTGGGTGCGTTGTCCCTATAGACTCAGGGAGTCTGGTGCGAGTTGCAAATTCTGCTGAAGAATCACAAACTACAGAGCGATTTTCACATTTCAGGCGTTGTTTCGTGTGGCGGACGTTTGTGTAGAATTCGTGAGTGGGGCCATGGAGGAATGGAAGTGGGGCGGAGGGGACGGAGACATGAGGAACGGGAGGGACGCAGGTAGGCAGGAGCTAGGGGAGGTAGAGAATATAGAATTTGCCCTAAAACATCGGGCAAATTGCTGCAAGAAAGAAGGTACTATTTTTTCGTCGGACTCTGAGTGTTATTCTGTCTTGGCTGGCCAATTTCCCACATATACAGCTGATGCTCACCCCATGCACGCGAATTTGCCTTGCGCCGGATGGATACGCTGCACCCGAGGTTGTTTCCCCAGCCTCATGCACCTACATTACAAGCGCGTCGCGTGGTTATCAACCAATAGTAACGAACAGACCAAAGTCAAACTAGGTACAGACCGAAGTCAAGCAGAAGAGACTGAAGTCAAACTAGGTTACAGATCTTGTTTATAAGCACATGCGAATCCTTTTTAGCTAGCTGCGAATTGACGAAACTTATGCGAAATGCTCGTGACAGCTTATACGCCCCCTTCATAAGGCAACCGGGAGGGGCTCAAACAGGCATCAGGTGTACCAAGCATCTCCCAGTTCCGTTTCCCCCTGTCAGCTAATATTCCCACCGCGAACCATGGTGCAGCTTGAAGCTTGAATGCTCTGACCCGATACAGTGAAGCACGACCTGGTACGATGGAGCAGATGTTTCAAGCTGCCCGACGCAATCTCCTCTTCACACACAACAGCGTGCACACTGCGCGGCGGCCCGATCGCGGCGTTGCGGGAAATGCGGCTCAGGTTGGAACAAAAACATTTCAAGGGAGTCTGGTTTTGGCCCTGTTTGGCAGGCGCATGAGCAACTAGGCTCGGGTATGAGCACTGGTTCGGGAGTGGTGTAACGTACCAAATTGTGAAGTCTGGGTTTCGTGTACAGTGACTTCACGCGGGGAACAGTCGCAGGCTCGGTGAAGGAGATTTGTCTGGGCTGCCCTGCTCGCTGGTCAGGGATAGAAAATTACAATAACCAATATCGAACCATCTTCCCTGACTGCCTACCAGTGAGCAACCTATAATATCTTCAATGCTGCCCCGCATCACTCATGCGCGCATGGATGCTACCTCTCCACGACGCACCATGCGCGCATGAGTGGTGCTTCGGTTTGCCAAGGGAGGATGGTTCCAGGAACCAATATCGATTCCCAAACCTGTGACAAAAAACACCGTTCGGCAGTCACTCAAAATCATTTTGCTTAGGTGTTCATGCGCCTATCCCTGGGCTTGATAGCCGATCAACCGCTTAGCTCGGAAGTACCCCGATTGGTCATGCAAGTGTAGCCCATTTCCAAGCCTGTGCTCATGCGCCTGCCAAACAGGGCCTTCGTGTTCA